GTTGTGAAGTATTGGGAGAAAATCCTCGCTATACTATCCGGGCTTTCGTGTGTGCTTCCTCTCGGGGAGTTTATTTTAGTAATGCGTTTATTGTGTGTTTTTTGGCGTAGTTTACGGGCTAAGAGGGTGTCTGCCTTGTTTGATTTTTTGTAAAAGAGCTGTTTACTCCATTGGAGGGCTCTTTGTGAATCTTTGGCCATGTAGGATTTGATGGCTTGTTGGTGGGTTTTGATCTGTGTTAAGATCGGTGGGGTTGGGTGTTGTTTGTGTTGAATCTCTAGGGCCCTCAGCGAGAGGAGGTGGTCCTTCAGTTCCTGCAATTTTTGCTTTTTGTGTTTTGTGGCCTCCGCTATTAGTTTGCCCCTTATGGTCGCTTTGTGTGCTGCCCATAATATGCCTGTGGATTCTACTGAGTCCTTGTTGAGTTGGAAGTACTCTGTGAGTGTCGTTTGGGTGGACGCCCTTATTTCAGGGATGTGTAGGAGTGTTGGGTTTAGTCGCCATGACCATGTTCTAGCTGTTTGTGGAATTGAGAGTGTTAGGGTTATCTCTGCGTGGTCGGACCACGTGATCGTGCCTATAGATGTTGTAATGTCTTGGGTTAGGAGGGACGGGGATATCAGGAACATATCAATCCTAGAGTATGAGAAAAGTATTTTTTCATGCATTATTTGCCTGTTTGCATAACCGTTACCTAAAGTTTAAGAAGGTTCTCTGATTACATTTTAGATGTTAGTGTAGCAAAATTGGTTTAAGGACAATAATATTACACAGTTTAAATGAAGTATTACATGTCATAAAAATAAAAGATTGTAATACTTAAAATACGATGATGAACTTATTGCAGGAATATTCTTTGTTCGAAAGATACTCCAACACACGCATTCATATTTTAGACCAAAGTGTAAACATACAATTTTTTTCAATTTGCACAATTTGGCCTGAAATTGGAAATTCCCTATACATTCTCACCTTGAATAACCCTGTTAATATTTTTTGGTGATGGTGACATTGTTCTTTGTTTTGTTTTTTAATCTAGCTAGAACAGTTATCTGAGTTTTAAAAGCTCCCTACTTCAATCCAGGACATAGCTCAGATCACCTCCAGCTGAAGCAGTGCCTTATACAAAGTAGACAATTGAGGACTCTATCAACCCCTAATACTGGACGCTGTCACTTTATTGCATTTTAACTACTTGTATATATATATATATATATATATATATATATTTTTTTTTTTTTTTTAAACATTTTATCTTTAACTACTATTTCTTTGTCACTGTAACATACCTGGGCATGCCTGTTCTTTACTATATGTGTGTATATGTTTGTGTATATATACGTATATATAGGTGTATGTATATGTGTGTGTATGTGCTTATTCATACATACATATATACATACATGCATATATTTTGTAGTTTGTCTCGTTCTGCATGCTAAAGGTAGTTGTTCCCTACCCTACTCATCATTGTTGGTTTGTTAACTTAAATGTTATTCAACTATCTCTTATCTCTGAAAACTTTCTCTGTTATTCCTGCTCTCCCCTTTATTTTATTGATACCCACCCGAATGGTCTTGCTTGACCAATCCTCACCTCCTCTGTGCATTTCCATTCCATAGTTTTATTGTAGTCCTTTTTTGACCCTATCCTCTCTCTTTCCACAGTGTGAGTTTTAAAAGCTCCCTACTGCAATCCAGGACATAGCTTCACTGAGAAGATCTCTACAATCAGAGAAGAGATCGCTAATTTCTCTCCTTCCCCTACCATTACATCACCCAACCCCACTCCCTCCACCACTCTACACTCATTCGCACCTGCTACAGCAGAAGAGGTTTCTTCTCTGCTCCGGTCCTCCTGCCCCACCTCCTGTTTCCTCGATCCTATTCCTTCATATCTCATCTGCACTATGTCTCCCTCTCTTGCTCTTCCCCTCACTAAAATTTTCAATCTCTCCCTTTCCTCTGGCACATTTCCCCCACCCTTCAAACATGCAACTGTAACCCCAATTCTGAAAAAGTCCAGCCTGGACCCCAACTCCCCATCCAACTACCGCCCTATCTCGCTACTGACATTTGCCCCCAAGATCCTCGAGGGAGTTTTGTACACCAGACTGACTGACTTTCTCGAAACCAACTCTCTGCTTGACCACCTTCAGTCTGGATTCCACGCTGGTCATTCTGTCGAAACAGCTGTGACCAAAGTATCCAACGATTTAATTGCTGCTAAATCTCGCGGCCATTACTCAAATCTACCTGTCCTCTCCTGATCTCTCTCCGCCCATCTTGACTCGTGTCACTGACTGCCTCTGTTTGATTTCCGAATGGATGGCTGCTCACTTCCTTAAACTCAACCTGTCCAAAACAGAACTTCTGATCTTTCCTCCCTCAAGTGTTACTACTCCGTGTCTGTCTCCCTCCAAGTCAACGGCGCTACCATAACCTCTACCTCGCAGGCTCGTTGCCTGGGTGTTCTTTTTGACTCCAACCTCTCCTTCACCCCTCATGTCCAATCAATTGCCAAATCCTGTCGCTTCTATCTCAAAAACATAGCGCGCATCCGCCCCTACTTAACCCCTTATTAAGCCCTCAGCGAATACTTTTCTAACAACTTACATCGTACCCCTACTTTTACCCTTTGTGTCACTTTACCCCATACCCTCTAGACTGTAAGCTCATTGACCAGGGCCCTCCACCTCTCTGTTCCTGTACGTCGAGTTGTCTGGTTACAATTAAATGTCTGTTAGTCCACCCTTTGTACAGCGCTACGGAATCTGATCACGCTATATAAATAATAATAATAAAAACAGTATCAGGCATTGAAAAAAACGTACAGTTGCATATAGACCCACATAACTTTAAGGTCTAGATATTGTTATGCAGTGTTTACATAATGTTATTCTGTTACTATAGGTTTATGTTGTTCACTGGGTGGTTTTATGTTGGTGCAAGGAACCTGAGTGCAGTCCAGCAATTATAGCCTGCAGCCGGACAGGCTAACGGAGGAGTTCACTTAGCTATGTAGCAGAAGGATCAAGCTGTACTTGCTGGAAGATCCCTGTTCTTTGTCAAACTCCTCAAAAATCGCTTGACATAAAGCAGGGAAGATTTTTTTTGCTACATAACTACAGTGAGCTGTAGTGGTTATGGTGCTTAGAAGAGCCCTTTGGCTGCTTTGATATAGTTTCCTAGTTTGTTTGTTTTCTAATGAGATATGGCTAGCATTGTAGCGGACCATGGGTTAAACGACTGGTTACCCCCACTAATTCCTTCCTTTAGCCACTCTGGAACCTTTAAAGCATACAGACATCCATTCCCCCACATAGGCGTGCGCAGCCTATTGCATTAGGGTGTGCACCCTAAAGCACAAGCACACACCGCATATATATATATATATATATATATATATACACACACATATATATACACACATACACACACTGCTGTGTGTGTGCTGTGTGAGGGTGCTGTTAGTGTGATGTGTGTGTGACGATGCTGGTAGTGTGCTATGTGGTTGAGGGTGTTTGTGTGTGCGTGCTTGTGAGGGTGCTGTTAATGTACTGTGTGTGAGGGTGCTGTTTGTGTGTGAGGGTACTGGTAGTGTGCTGTGTGTGTGTTTGTTAGGGTCCTGTTTGTGTTTGTGAGGGAACTGTTAGTGTGCTGTGTGTGTGTGTGAGGGTGCTGTGTGTGTTTTTGAGGGTGCTGTATGTGTGTGTGGGTGCTGTATGGGTGTTGGTGCTGTGTATGTCTGTGGGTGCTGTATGTGTGTGGGTGCTGTGTATGTCTGTGGGTGCTGTATGTGTGTGGGTGATGTGTATGTGTGTGGGTGCTGTGTATGTCTGTGGGTGCTGTGTGTGGGTGCTGTATGTGTGTGGGTGCTGTGTATGTCTGTGGGTGCTATATGTCTGTGGGTGCTGAATGTGTGTGCGGGCCTATGTGTGTGGGTGGGTGCTGTATGTGTGTGGGTGCTGTATGTGTGTGTGGGTGCTTTTGCGTGTGTGTGGGTGCTGTATGTCTGTGGGTGCTGTGGGTGCTGTGTATGTCTGTGGTGCTGTGTGTCTGTGGGTGCTGTATGTCTGTGGGTGCTGTATGTCTGTGGGTGCTGTATGTCTGTGGGTGCTGTATGTGTGTGGGTGCTGTATGTGTGTGGGTGCTGTGTATGTCTGTGGGTGCTGTATGTCTGTGGGTGGTGTATGTCTGTGGGTGCTGAATGTGTGTGGGTGCTGTGTATGTCTGTGGGTGCTGAATGTGTGTGGGTGCTGAATGTGTGTGGGTGTGTATGTCTGTGGGTGCTGTGTATGTCTGTGGGTGCTGAATGTGTGTGGGTGCTGAATGTGTGTGGGTGCTGTGTATGTCTGTGGGTGCTGAATGTGTGTGGGTGCTGTGTATGTCTGTGGGTGCTGAATGTGTGGGTGCTGTATGTGTGTGGGCTGTGTGTGTGTGCTGTATGTGTGTGTGTGGGTGATTGTGGGGGGTGGAGGTGGGGGTACATTAATTGCTATACCCCCTCCCTTCTTACCTTTTGTAGGGAGGGGGGATCGTGCTGCTGCTTCCTTCCCTGGTGGTCCAGTGGAGGAGGGGATCCTTGTTGCTGCTGTGATCCCTGGTGGTCCAATGGAGAGTGAACTCTAGCCCCCTGTGGGGTTAGAGTTCACTCTCGCGAGATTTGAGCGTTGCCGTGGCAACGCTCATATCTCACGAGAGGAACCCGGCGGAGCTGCCGGCAATAGCTCCGCCAGGTCCTCTCCTGCCTCCCTCCCTGCATGTGGGCCGGTGGGGAGGGAGGTTGAGAGCAGAGCCGGCGCTCGGATAGCGCCGGCTCTGCCTGAGCCGACAGGGGAGATCCTGAGATCTCCCCTGCCGGTCTCAATATACATAGGCGTGCCGCGGGATTAGGGTGTGCCCAGGCACACCCGGCACACCACGTGCGCACGCCTATGTTCCCCCAGTAACCAGACGAAACATAGTTCTGGGAGTCAACTGAGGTTTATGTGGTCACACACTGCTTCCCCTACATGGGGTCTCTCATACAATAATACAGGGCTTTTCCTCCCTGGATCCTTGACAGAAAAATATACAATATTCTAAAACACTCCTAAAATAAATTTTCAAGTGGGGCTAATTTGATTGCATGGGAGGTCAGAGCTTACAACCCAAATTCCTCTTTGAAGCTGGGACCCCAACAGAGCCACTCTGCCATGTGTGAGTAGTCACACACAAGTGGCCTGGAAGTCTGACTTCAGTATGAACTAACTCTCTCACTTGCCATATGTCCTGATTCCCTCATAGATAAGGAGTCCTTTAATATGGACAAGCCCTTTGTTCCAATATCATATCCAATAGGAGACATCAATATTCAACCACAGATTAATACTCAAGCCTCATTTTTATCATATTTAGAACGGGACAAGCACAATCTTCTACTGAAGCCCAAACATCATTTGTGAACAAAGGGAATAAAAGTGTAGTTAGGGGAGGCGGAGCCTAACTGCCGAGTCAGCCAGACGCACCTTGGTCGAGCTCCTGGGGAAAACCACCTAAAACATCAACTAACTACGATTTTAATCGGAAAACCGATAACTGCAATACTCACAGCACTTGTATGAACTCACACACATATCATCCTATCGGAGTTTGACCGGCGTCGGGCGGTTCTGGATCGCGGGAGGATGGAGGACTACTACACGAGGGAGGGAGGCAGCCGATCCCTCTGCCCGTGGACTCCTACACCTCTGCAGGGTCCATCAGCAGCAGCACTTCTCACGCGCCGGTGAGGGAAATCCCTGCACCCATCAGCCGGACTGTGAGGTCTGGAGGCATGCCTGATCAGCGACACGAAAAGACAGATAGCGGACCTGGAGGCTGAACACGTCTCTGTTGCGGGACCCTGAAATAAAAGAGCAGATTCGGAAGGAGATGACCACCTTCAGATTTTGATACAAATAACACCCCGGAAGTAAGTGTGGGTATGGTGTGGGCAGCACATAAGGCCATGGTGAGGGGGACCCTGATTAAATTGGCCACCAAAAAGAAAAAACTGAAACATCAACAGCTGGAAAACCTACTAGGACAGTTGAGATCCCTTGAACAAAAACACCAAACTGCACCTGGGGGAGATACCTACGAACAGTTAAGCACAGTGAGACGATCTATTCGTACACTATTACTAGACAACACAGCTAGATCCATGACCTGGTCGAAACGGACATACTTTGAAAAAGCTAACAAGATGGACACCCTACTGGCCAGGGCATTACGACTCAGGCAGGATCGGCCCCATATCACAGCTATTAAACATCCAGATGGCACAACCATATCCAAACCGAGTGAGATAGCCAAGGTATTTGAGGAATTTGATTAGCGGCTGTACAATAACACACCAGATGGCAACACTAATGAGAAACGGGAGGAACTACATATCCTCACTTACCTCGACAGTATAGGGATGAACAGACTGAATAGAGAGGCGATCGTTAGCCTAGCCGCAGACATTACTGAAGATGAAGTGGACAAAGCTATATCAAGCTCGACGGCTCATACTACAAATCCTTTAGAGAGGAGCTTGTACCACAACTAGTGTGACTGTTCGATGACCTGAGGAGGGGAGGACGGCTAGATCCTGATATGACCCTGGCCACCATAGTACTACTGCCCAAACCGAACAAAGACCCACTACAACCGGAGAACTTTAGGCCCATGTCGCTAATCAATCACGATCTACAGATTTTAGCGAGCACACAGGAAGATAGGTTGAATCCGCTCCTGAACTCACTTATACACGCGGACCAGGTTGGCTTCATCCAGGGCAGGCAATTGTTTGAAAACACTAGAAGGAACATTGATTTGATTTGGAAGCAGGTGGCCACTGGAACTCCTACCTTAGTGGTCTCCATCGATGCAGAAAAGGCCTTTGATCGGGTCCAGTGGCAATTTCTGTTCAGTGTTGAAACACATGGGCTTCCCAGACGAATATATCACTATAACAAGAGCAATGTACCATAACGTGAGAGCCCAGATACAGATAGATATCGGGAGCCCCGTTGAACCCATTTAGGCTATATAATGGGACTAGACAAGGGTGCCCCTTATCCCCCCTCCTATTCGTGCTGGCATTGGAACCCCTGCTACAAGCAATTTGCCGGCATCTGAGGGGCGACAGAGAGTTCACGGTTTCAGCTTATGTGGACGATGTCCTCCTGACAGTTACGAACCCAATAAAATCAATGATGGCTATACAGGACATAGTAACAGAATACGGAAAGACCTCCGGATATAAAGCAAACATACAGAAATCTAGCGCCCTGCCGGTGGGTTTAAGGGAAGATGAGACGGGTAGGATACGGGAGACCCATAGGATCCGGATGGAGACGAACTCCTTGACATACTTAGGGATCCACTTAACAGCAGACCTGGGAAGCCTATACCCCACCAATTACGACCCCATGCTTCGATCATTGATAAGAGACTGTCAGGATTACTGTTTGATCCAGCACGTAGAACTGTACAACACGAATGACAAATAAGTAATGTATTACCGGTCCTTAGAATGGCCGGATTTAACGTACAAAGAATAGTCAAAAATACTAGCCGAGGTCAGGGAACACAGAAAGGGACACAGCGATGAGGAAAGCCACGAGTCAGGATACCAGAATATAGAGAAGTCAATAAACAAAGTCAAAGTCAAAAACCAGGTAGAAAACTATAAACAGGAACGCGCTCTCGGACAACCACAAGGGAAACCACGACAGGGCACTTAGCAGGCTGAGAACTGGGCCTAAATACCCCTCCTTTAGTTCTGATAGGCTGTAACCGGCCTTTGACCCCAAAGTCAGTTACCAGGTTTTATTTGCATAATTGCTGCTCAGCATTAACCCTTCTGTGGATTAGGTTGCTGCTCGGCACAACTTTTCCTGTGTGGACAGTAAATGTCATTAATCACTTTTCTCTAAGCGGATGAATACATGACACCAGGTTTCATTTGCACAATTACTGCTCAGCATTAACCCTTCTGTGGATTAGGTTGCTGCTCGGCACAACTTTTCCTGTGTGGACAGTAAATGTCATTAACCACATTTCTATAAGCGGGATACATGACACCAGGTTTCATTTGCATAATTGCTGCTCAGCATTAACCCTTCTGTGGATTAGGTTGCTGCTCGGCACAACTTTTCCTGTGTGGACAGTAAATGTCATTAACCACATTTCTATAAGCGGATGAATACGTGACAGAGACCTAGAAAAGTGGAAAGACAAGCCTATCTCCTGGATAGGACGGATTAATCCTGTGAAAATGAATATTCTTCCACGTATATTGTTCTTGTTTCAGGCACTACCTGTGCGCATTACAAAAACTCAATTGATACCTCTACAACGATCAATAGGGGATTTTATTTGTCAAAAAAAGAGACATAGATTCTCCAGACAGGTGTTATATAGACGTAAGGACAGAGGTGGACTGGGGCTGCCGAGCTTATATTTTTATTACCTAGCGGCCCAATTAACGCAGATAGCAATGTGGCATTCTTAATGAAAGAAGATACGTAGAAATTGAGTGGGTTCCTAAGGACAGCAGACCAATAATACGAGCGACGTGTCCGGCCATACTGAATTTGATTCAAATATGGGACAGGTGTGGTACCAGGTATGGGCTAGCTTCGTCCACCTCCCCCCTCACTCCAATATTCAGAAACCGAGAATCCCCCCCGGAATGGCCCCTAAGGAATTTCGACATATCGAGAGAACCGGACTGCAACGGATCCATCAGTTATATCTAAATGGAAGGATAGTCCAATTCGCTGAACTTCAACAAGGCAATCACTTAACCCCAGCAGATTTCTTTCAATATATTCAAATCCGGGACCTCACCAGAAAACCACACATAAAAGAAGCAGCTCAGAGAAAGAAGACTTTTTATGAGAACATGTGCTTAAACGGGGTGACCCCCAAGGGACTGATCACGCTCTTATATGCTCACCTCAGTACAGAAAATAAAGAATGGGGAAGACTGATGTACACCGACAAATGGGAATCTGACTTAGGGGAGGTATTGGAAGGAATTGAGTGGCAAGAGATATGGGAAGCAAACACCAACGCTTCCATATGTGTCACATTCCAAGAACAATCGTGGAAAACCATGTTACGATGGTACACCACACCCGTACAACTTTATCATATGCATAAAACAGACACAGATGTATGCTGGTTGCGGAGCACGTGGTACTTACATACACATGTGGTGGGAGTGCCCGAAAATCCAAGACTTCTGGAGGTCTGTTGGGGATTTGCTGAAACAGACTTTCGATAGGCCCCTGGCTATGGACCCTTGGGTATATCTGCTAAATAGGTCAGTGGACGGGTGGACAAGGAGGGAGCAGAAGTTAATACATAAGATAACTCTAAGCGCACGCCAAGCAATTGCAACCGCATGGCTTTCGCCAGAGGGCCCAGAATATATCCAGAATAAGGGAATATAGAATAATGGACGACCTGACAGCAAGGGTAAAAGGGACGATGGAGACTTTCCAAAGACTGTGGGAACCGTGGGACAACAGCGTATTAGGTTCAAGCAGTGACTGACGGGGATTGGTTAGAGAAAGGACCCGAACCGGCAATAGCGACAACAGAAGCCCCCTATTGAAGGACATAATATCGTGCTTGGGGGACAGACCAAGCGGCGTACCCTACATCAACACAAGAAGCCAAACATCTACGAGAAACATCGCCAGGAGCATAAAGCACGACTGGAGAGAACAGCCATACAAGTTTACCTGGCAGCACCAGGGTCCAGAAGATCGCAACGCCTCGCTCCACTCCAGCTACAGATACTGCATGGAAGCCAGCCTCTTCTAACAACGTCTGGTCACGGAGACCCACAAGACCCTGCCATGCTCCAAAACTGCGGGGTACCCCTGACAGGCATCGGCTGAACGGGGAGCCGGAGCACCTACCCCAGACATGGACACATTAGAGAGACTCACAAGCAGCAGACACCGGGTAGCGGTTTCACCACACCTACCACAGAACAGTACTAAGCTTATGTTTCTGATACCTCATTCTGTGGTATATGTGCATTTTAGTCTCCCACTATAGTGTGGAATCAAATATCATTACTTCTGGGCATAATACCCCCATTTTGAGCCTATATAACCAGCACCTCTCTCTAAGGGCATAGCTGATTTAAAATTGTAGCCTGTTAACTCTCACCACGGCAGCAATTACAAGCGTGTTATAGTCTATAGTTAATGTACAACCGCTGGCTATTACCAGAATCATTTTACTATTTGTTCTCCATATTTGCTCAAACATAGCAACCTTACATTAAGTGATGCAACTAATATGTACACATCGTAAATACATTGTTTTACCATGTTTAACCTACTAAGATTTCTTGCATATGAAAGCCTATAGTTTGTTAATACTTAGACAGCTGTACCTGACAGGCATCTTCCTATACAGAGATCAAACAGGTATAATCTGTGTATCATGCTAACCACTTACATGTTAAGTCGTTCTTTACATTTAATTTTCTCAACCCATAACCTTAATATATAA